GGCCAGGTGATGAAGGCCTTCATCACTGGGCTTCAGAGCTCACTCTTGATCCAGGGAAAGCAGATGGCTTTCAGCAGATTCACATCAGTATGACACTGTGTCTTAGGAGTACTCTATTATCTGTGCAGACTTGGACTTGCAAGAAACAGTACTAGGAGGCTGACATGGCAGATGAGTCTCTGGGGCGTTCAGGCTGTACCCCTGTCACAGGTTAAGACTCTGTAAGACGGTGATCTGACTCCTAGCAGAGGCTGAAATGCCCCTCAAGAGAGTACTCTGTATTGTGGGCTGGTTAAGTCTTTCCTTGGTGCCATCAATCAAGTTGTTAAGCCAACATTGGGGGTTTGACTCTTGTGCAGAGTTTGTATAAATAAAATATTTCCTTTACGTGATGAAAGACAGTCTTCCAAATCCTGAAGGGAAAATGGTAGAGTACTTAGATTTTAGAATGAGAGCTGGGTTCAAACCTGTATTCTCAGCACTAGCTCTGTTACCCTAGGCCAGTTATCAACCTCTCTGATCATGACAGTCCCCATCACCAACATTGTGAAGATTAGGTTTCACTGTATAAACACAGTTCCACTACATTGTTGATACTCGGACCCCATAGCTATTATGTCATTTGTATTACTGTCATTATCATTATCACCACTTTGCAAGGAAGGAAGAGACAAACAAGAAAGGCAGATGGACCACCGCATATGTCTTCTTGGTGATGAGGAAATGATGTCAAATTGCATCAGCAGCCATCGTGAAGCATATAACCTGATACTTCTATTAGCTGCAATACCCAAAATACTTGCCTTGGAGGCATACTTGAATAACTCCTTTTCCATCCAATTTGCCTACCACTGCCAGATTAACCTTCCTAAAATACTGTTATTCCTTCATTTTTCTGGGGTAGACTATTCAATGGTATCCTATTACCTATTGAATTAAATCCCAACACTTAATTAATCTTCAAGCCTTTGGTTGAGCTCATCATAGAGTGTTTTTCCATTTATTTATTTTTCTGGATGTATAGTAAAAATCTCCAAGCACCCATGAAATGAGGATATTTATACCTGCTTTATCCATCTCACAAGGTTATGGTGAGGGTCAAATGGCTAGTATCTATGGAAGTGTTTTGTGTGTTATATAGCACTTTGTACAAAAAGTAAGGGAAATAGCATTTGCTTATGTCAGGACTGTATGTATTATTTTTCACCATCATTACAGAAACTTTGTTATACAGATGATTTTGTTCCAGTTTCAAAGATTTTAAAAATCCGAGGCACAGCAAGACTAAGTCACTGCTCCAGGCTACACAGCACTCAGAAGTGGAACAGGGGTTTGAATTCAGAACTGTTTCGTGCTAAAACCTGTGCTTTTGATTCTTCATCACACTGCCTCGTGCTTCTTTTGAAAAGATCCCTCTCATTCCAGCCAGACTTGTGTAGTCTCTGCTCCATGAACACTTTTTCTCTTTTTGTCTATACACATTTTATCTCCCCTTCGCGGCCTACCCAGGTCCTGCCCTGGCTGTGCCTCCTTTCATCAGTCATTTCCATTCCCTTGGGCTCTGTTTGGCTCTAAATGTTGACACAGACAGCGTGTGAGATGTTTTGTACTGCTGAGTGACATTACTCTTAATTCTGAAAATACTGTTTTACTCTGTGCATATATATACTCTTATGTCACCAAAAGGCCTATAAGCGTTTTGAAGGCATAGACTACCCCTTCCCTATAATGCTTATTATTCTTTCTCTTTGTCTGCCACTCTTCTTCTCTCCCTCCCTCCCTCTCTCTCTCCATTCATCTATCAGTCAATCCATCTACACCAACATAAAGCAGATGCCCCTAGATATTTAAACGTTTATTGAATGAGTGCAGGAATGAAGCGGTCAGTGATTACAAGTTTGAATTAACTCGTCTTTGCAAGTCTCCTCTGGAGAGTCTGTCCTTTCCAAGGAGCTACCTGGCTTGTCTAACATGTTTAGTCCTTGAAAGCATTCTTTTCAGAACCAGAACTTTAGGGAAATTCACACTGCAATCTACCTTTACAGTGTCATGGCTGTGGTCGCTAATTAAACTGAATGAAGAAGCCCTTAATGGAAAGCCTGTACTTTGTCACTATGTCTTTTTAGTAAATGCTCTTCCATTTTCAGTGATTAGGCAAATTCACTAAATACAATGACTCCTACCTAGAAGATCTCCCCAGAAAGACTGCCCTCGCTGCTGCCTGCTGAGTGCAAGAGAGGCTCAAATCCATCCTTTAGTGCTTAATGGCCTCTAATGACCTGGAGTGACCCCAAACTCAGCGCCTCATTGATGCCCTTTGACAGTATGCCTATAGGAGATTGTTTGGGAATACTATGGAGAAAGATAGGGTATCTTTAAATACTATCATTGTGACGAATCTACCAATATTTTTGTGGCTACTGGAAAACATTGTATCAGGTTCTCTCCTTTTAGCCAACCTCTTCCTCTATCCCTCCATTCTGTCTGAAAGGCAGGCAGATACAAAATCTAAAGGACTATGAGAAGGAGAGCATTCACACCATGTCTTTATTTTCTCCCCCAGATGGGACTGGATGCAAGGGTAGTTAAGGCCAGTGGCCAACCACCTGGAGGGCTAGGCTTTCGGGAAAGGAACAATAGCCAGAAAGCTGCTGTGTTATTTTTCTGCTCCTAGATGCAAACCTAGAGAGGAAGAATGGAGGGGAAAACTCCCGGTAAGAGAGGAGAGTCCTTTCATTCATCAGTAAGCTTTGAATCCATCAAACTTGATTTCTAAATTGGCTGTGAAATTACCAAAGAGGTAATGAAAAAGACCCCTTGAACTCCTTAGCAGAAATGGGGTCTTGAGAACAAATGGTGCTCACATATGGGAAAACAGAGAGCATTCCATTTCTGCAATCATGACTATCAATTCTGAGTCCACTGCATGCATTATTATTTTATTCATATCCATTTTCCCACAGCACTATAAGCTACAGAAAGGCAGAAGCCATCTGAATTCCCCTCTTATTTTGTCTTTAGCTCCTAGTAACAAGGCCAAGAGGGTGACTTGGGAAGAGCACAGCCTCTGAGGTTAGAAGACGTAAGTCCATAGAATATTAGTTGCATAAATGCGTGAATTCCCAAGTGCAATGCATCACCCAGTGATCCACTATCTTGAACCAACCGCAACTCCCAAGGTCAGAAGTTTCCCCATGCAATCTGTAGAGATTTTTATGTTGCCCTAAGTTGTGGAACTCGTTTGGACGGCAAGCCGAACCCCTAACCTCTGTCACCTCCCCTGACCCAGTCCCCATCTGTCCTTTGGGTGGTCCCTCAGTAGAGATCGGACCGTGGCCCAGCTTTTTCTACCTGGCTTCCACGCTGCATCCCAGGAGCACATTTCCTAAGCTGAATCTGATTCTTTTTCCTTCTTGAACTTTTTTTCTAATGATATGTGCACCAATCGATTTAAGTGTTTTGTTCCTGACCAGTGAGTGCCTAGCATCAAGTGGTCAAATGGATATCTAATGAGTATTTGGGGCTAGGAAAGTGATTTTTTAACACTGGCCCTGTTATTTTTTTTATCTATGAGATAGGTAGAGACCAGGCCAGACTCCTCTAAATGTAGCCCTGTCCCTTCTGCCCTTGTCACATTTTATACATTTTCCCCATCGTCAGCCACACCCTCTTTGGACATGTGGGAAGCACAGGAGGCTTCTGCTGGTGAGCAGGGCCTGGGCTCCCCCCCAAGGGTATTTCTGCAGTGTTCCATCTTAGAGGCTGATATCACAGCTTCATTCTGGCACAAACCTTATGGGGGTTGTTCCCATCTGCCACTGAGCTGCAGAAGATGCACATGAGGCACTTTTTGTTGATGTTATTGGCTGGGTGTCTAGAGGGAAAAATTGCTCAAGGGAACTTTTTGACTCCTGCAGTCTGTGGGAGGGGGGATGTCATGAATTTTTTGGTCTAGAGTGTATGTATGCACTCACCTACCAACCTCAAGCTGCCAAGACAACCTTCATCTGCCCAGTGGCTTTTAAAGGGCCCTGCCCAAATGGACATTGACATACTTTAGATTCAACCATGTGGGCGACTTGAGAAGCAGCCTTATTAGGATGTTTAGGTATATTTTGGACACCCTTACGCAACCTTTCTACTTTTGGGACCAGGCCTGTCGGCGTCTGGTGTCTGCCACAGCAATCTTCATTATGGGAGAAGAGCAGGTAAGAAAGCAGAAACAAGAGAATGAGAACTGAGGGTGCATAGCAGAGGATGTGAAAGCTAGAGCACTGTAGATGAATCCACCTTGCAATCTCTGGATGAGGAGATGAATCACCATCAAGGCCAAGGTGGTGTTGAAGCCAAATGTGAACTCCCAGATGCCTTACTGGATCCTATATTTATAGGCCACATTTGCAAAAAGCAATCTTAACTGGTATTAATCATTACTACAATTACCTTATACTTAAAAAAATTCTCTGTGCAAAGGTGGCACTAAACTGCCGTTCGGGTTTACGAGAAGGAGGATGTTGAAAGCAGTGTGTCCTTAGATGCTTTGGCCAGGACAAGTGACCATTCCATTTCTACTCCCAAATCACTGCTTTCCAAAGGCCAGACAAGCTGTATTTGAATTACCTTGTGCATAATTAGTCAATTAATTAATTGCAAACATAAACTCTCAGGTCCTACCTTATCCTGTTGAGACAAAGGGAAACAGGGCCCAGGAATCTAGATTTAACAAACATCCTAATCCATGCCAAAGCATTTCCAGATTTGAAAACCACAGCCTGACCATTTTCCACCCTCTGCCCTTCTGCTGCAGTCCCTGAGGAAGACCCGTACCCAGAAGCAGGTGACTCCTGGTCCCTGGGCACAGACCAAGTGAACAGGGCAGAACTGAGCGAAGAGCTCCTTCCCCAGCTTCCACCAGCCTTAATGGACCGGAGCCAAAGCAGACGGAAAGACTGCTTTTGCCTATTTCAACCCCAATTCCCAAGCCAAAGCTCGAGTCTTACCTCTCCAAGCAAGGAAAGGCAATGACAGCCAGTGAGATGCCGGCGAGAAGCTGAAGGGAGCCCAGGCAGCAGCATATATGTGGCAAGTCCAGACTCGGTAGAGTGGGCCGGTGGAGGCAGGAGCAGTTCGTGGGACTGGCCCAGCCTTAAGCTTGGCACAGTGACTACACCCAGAAGCCATTCCGGGTGCTTACGGTCTTCTTGGAGGAGAGGAAAAGGTAGGCAGTAGAGAAAATGGTGGAGACGGATGGTTAGGCCCCAGCCCAGATGCCAACATAGGAGCCATTTTAAACCAGCTTTTGTGTAACCATGGCAACGAGGTAGACAGCTTCCAAACCCACAAGAGAAATGTCTCTGCCTCATGATATTTTGAGGGCTAGTGGGTTGTTGCTGTTTTTTCTCAATCGTAATCCTATGCATTTTTCAAGAGACGCTTAGGTAAGTGTCCAAGAGCTCTCTGACCATTGTGATCCCATATTTTAGTGTCACTGGAAGGTGGCACCAGTGTCCATCAGCATGTCGGCCCTCAAGGTTCTGTCCCTTTGGGATCCGTGGAAGAAAAGGCACAGAGCAATGCCCACGGAGCACCTGGAACCTAATTCTGAGGTCCCCAGCACAGTCACAGGCCGTGGCGTCCAGGGTAGCGACTGAGTACATGCACTCTCAGGCTGGGACCCGACACTTTTCCTATTGCAGGACACGCTCCGAGCTGCACAGTCTCAGGGGCAGCCTACACAGGCCCCCACTCAAGATGTTAAATGCTAAAAATGAACTAATGCAGACTTCTAAAACAGACTGCTCCAAAAACTCCCTCAAGAAATAGGAGTGATGATTTCACAAGAGAGTATTTTAAAACACAAACCACCTGGGAAAATATGTGCCATGAAGAAGATAGCAATGAGCTTAGCACGGCACCACACCCATGGCAGCTACTCAACAAGTTGTGCTTGTGGTTGTTTTCATGAAAATAGAGTTTTATATAAGTCAACAGAAAAATAGGAAAAGACTGTGTTCACAGCAGACAGTTCACAAAAGAACTTTGTGTGGCCCACACAGCACATAAAATATTATCTTTATTAGAAATAAAATAAGTATCCATTAAAATAATAAAATGCCATTTCCCCACACTTTGAATTGGTAAAGTTTGCTTCTTGTTCTGTTTAAGATAATACCTGGTGTTATTAGCCCAACAGACAGTTATTTATACTCTGCCTGGTGACACCGTAAGCTTTACACACTAGCACCATGTTTCTGCAGAGTGATCTGGCAATTCATGGTACAAGATTGCAAGCTTCAGAAATGTTTGTATAGACTTCGTGCAGTCATTCCACTTCTAGGGAATTTATTCTAAGAAAAGAAATAGAACGTGCACAAATGTTTATCTATAGAATGTTCTTCACACTGTTTTTGAGAAAAACTTTGACGAAGAGCAGTTTTGCTCATGAATAGATGACGAAAATCTACAGCATAGAATTTAAAGTTCAGCCGAGAGAAATAAATTTGGTTTATATTACTGTTTCTCTTGCTAAAATGCACATATCATAGGGATAGAACATATTTATAGGCTTCATCTGCCCCCAGAGAGAAATCTATAGAGCCCTTTCTGTACACACACACAGACTCTGCACAATAGCCCCGGAGTAACGCATGGTAAGGCTTCCTGCTGCCTGCTGAAGGTTATAATCAGACAAAAGATGGTTTAGAAGAGCACTTCCAAGTATTGTCATCTGTGTTTGCACTTAGAAAATCACAAAGATAGCTTTGACTTTTGAACCAAAACCCATGGTGGTGCTTCTCTCTTCTGCTACAGAGACAGTGACCTACCTCTGTTTCTGGAATGGTCAGAATTGTGGAATCTGCTTTGTCAACTCAATTCCTTTCAAATTCATTTGCAAATTCATGGGGATAATGTGCTACACCTTGATAGCCTTATACTGTGAGGTCTTGGCTTAAAGTGTAATTAGATTAGGCAAACAACCTTACTTTACTCTCAAACTCCTTCTATCTAAAAAGGAAATTACCGAAAAAGTTGATTGTATTAGTCAATGCCTACATTGATATAAAGACATACCCGAGACTGAGTAATTTATAAAGAAAAGAGGTTTAACTGACTCACAGTTCTCCGTGGCTGGGGAGGCCTCAGGAAACTTACAGTCATGGTGGAAGGCAGAGGGAAGCAGGCATGTCTTCATATGGCCAGAGCAGGAGGAAGAGCAAAGCGGGAAGTGCTACACACGTTCACACAACCAGATCTCGTGAGAACTCAGTCACAAGACAGCACTAGGGGGATGGTGCTGTTGGAAACCACCTCCATAGGCCAGTCACCTCCCACCAGGCCCCACCTCTAATGCTTGAGATTACAATTCAACATGACATTTGGGTGAGGACACAGAGCCAAACCATATCAGTGACAAAAGAAAATTTTGCATGGAAATCATAAGGCATATGAATTCAGCACAGTGGATGAGGATCCATACTCTGGGGCCACGCGACCTGTGTTTAGCCCAGGCTCCATGACTTACCAGCCTTCTTACTTTGAATAAGTTACTTAACTTCTCTGTGGCTCAATTTCTGCCCCTATAAATTGGGGGATAATTGTACCTACTTTATAGCGTTGTCAAGATTAAATGGACTAATGTATCTGAAGTGCTTGGAACCATGCCTGGCACATAGTAAGGTCTCTATATAACAGAATTATTATTATCATCATCACTATTAAATTACTATTAGCATATCTTCTCTTTTCACTTGGTCTAAAAAGCATCAATAAATTAAACCACTTAATTCCAACCTTCTTTCTTGCATCTTTAGAAATATTTTTAAGGAGGAACATAATGAACTTGCAGCATAATTACTGAGGTGAGAAATATGTCTCTATGTTCAAATGCTCCTCAAAGAAAAGACACTTGAGAGCATCAACATGGCAACAACTCAACAGCCAATGGGTTTTTTTTCCACAAACCGGATGCCTAGCAGGTTAAATATGAAAAACTACACTTGTGTTGATTTAGTCAGATGAGTTTAACAAATGTCTTGAGCATTAGATGCTGTTCTGGATACAAATGCAGATAGAAATCAGCGGTGCAGACAGAACACCATGAAGAAGCAGAGAAAAGAAATAGCAGTGTGTGTGGATGGCGAGGGGAGAAATGTGAGCTACTAAATTACATAAGCATAGAGAAACCAAAAATGGTGGGGGGAGCCACTTAGGAGATGAAAACTGTTGTAATAGAAAGGTGTACAAGCCAACAAAAATCTAAATCACTCTACATAATATTTTTTAAAAACATTCGTGCTACTTGGGAATCCGTGAGTGTATCAGGAAAAAATTCATTCTGTTTGATGATATAATGTACAATGTGCAACTTTTACTCCTTAATAATAAATTTGGCCAGTCACGGTGGCTCACGCCTGTAATCCCAGCACTTTGGGAGGCCGAGGCGGGTGGATCACTTGAGGTCAGGAGTTCAAAACCAGCCTGTCCAACATGGCGAAACTCCGTCTCTACTTAAAATAGAAAATTAGCTGGGCATGGTGGTGCATGCCTATAATGGAGGCTGAGGCAGGAGAATCACTTGAACCTGGGAGGCGGAGGTTGTAGTGAGCCAAGATCATGCCACTGCAACTCCAGCCTGGGAACAAGAGCAAAACTCCAACTCAAAAATAAATAAATAAATAAATAAATAAATTTACATGTTGGTATTTTCATCAGTTTACCATAGTGAGACTTCATATTAAAAGACTCTATGGAATAGAGTCTTTTAATTTGAGCCCAGGCTGGTCTCAAAGGAATAATTCAGACTTGACTTCTTCTTTAGTAGTAGATATTGTTTTTTCAGCATCAAAACTCGAAATTATATGTACAGCTGAAGGTCTGACATTTAAAACTTCTCTGCTGGTACAATAAAAATTTATTTAGGCTAAGAAAATTGTGGCCAGCTACTTTGGCCATATGTCATGATGGCATCTTTATGATTTGGATATTGATACCACAGCCATACATTATATTTAAAAAAGATGTATTATTCATTCATTTAACAAATATTTGTTGTGCCAAGCATTGATGCTGATAAATATAATTATACGTGCTCATTTGACTCTGAACTATATCATGATTTAGGCATCTTTCTCTTGATCTTTCAATAAAAGCACTCATGCAAGATGATAATCACATATTCCTCAGTCAAACTGATGTCTTTCCAAAAATTGTACGATGTAAATATACTGTTACTCACCCTCTTTCACCCACTAGTTTTAACATCCAATGAATTACTGTTGCCTAAATCAATTAATACCAGCCTGTGTCATCTTCTATTGATGGAGTTTTACTTTTCTGCATTCATTCGTTGAGATCCATTAGTTGAGTAAGAAAGAGCTCTCTTTTTCTCTCATGTACTTATTTAGTATGGACTGTATTCTTACTTTATTAAATTATTATTCATTGTACTGCTCAATTTTTTTTTTTGAGATGAAGTCTCGCTCTGTCACCCAGGCTGGAGTACAGTGGTGCAATCTCAGCTCATTGAAGCCTCTGCCTCCCAGTCAAGAAATTCTCCTGCCTCAGCCTCCCGAGTAGCTCAGACTACAAGCACATACCACCGTGCCTGCCTAAGTTTTTGTATTTTAGTAGAGACGGGGTTTCACCGTGCTGCCCAGGCTGGTCTCAAACTCCTGAGCTCAGGCAATCTGCCCACCTCAGCCTACCAAAGTGCTGGGATTACAGGCATGAGCCACCGTGCCTGGCCACTGCTCAAATGTTTTGAATTTGCTGCCCTAGACTTGGTGAGAGGGAGCACCTTCAAGCAAATTCCTATGTCATTTGGATATGGTTCCATCATTTTATGAACTTTTCTTACTTTCTGATATAAGATGTTACCAGCTCACCTCATGTTGCCTCAGCCCCAGCCCTGGAAGAAGCCATTTCTCCAAAATGTCCAGGCTGTTTTTAATCAAGAATGGTAGTTACAACCCAGCCTCTGGGTGCCATAGGTGCTTATTGCTACTAACGTGTCATTGCTGCCAAGTCTCAAGAGACAAATTTAGGAAATATGTCAATATGCACATGTATACATATATGCAGACACATCTATATATGTATTATATATATTTATATTTATAGATATATAGAGAGCTCTATGTATATATAGAGGTGTGTCTGCATGTATCTATCTATATGTGTGTATATATACACACACACACATAGAGACAGAGAGCTATGTCTACATGTATGTGTGTATGTGCATATGGTCAAATGGCATATATATATATATATGTATATATATATGCCATTTTCTTACACTAGCGAGTCTCCACAGGGGGCAGTTTTGCCCCCAGGGACACTTGGCAATATCTGAAGACGTTTTTGACTGTCACAGCTGGGAAGGGGAGTGCTATTCATATCTTGTGCATAAAAGATAAAATCCAGGGATACTGCTAAATATCCTGAGAATTTCCTGACCCAAATGTCAATAATGCTGAAGTAGTTGGGAAGACCCGCTTATCCAATGACCTCTGATTTCAATGTGACAACACACCTCACTCCAGCCTGTCCTTCTCTGACAATGAGAAGCATAGCCTCCTTTAACACTATAGGCAATCCTAGAATGCACAGAAAGTATGTTTCTGAATTGCTGCCCCATACCTCAATAG